AGAGGTCATAGACACTCGCAGACTGCAGACCCAAGTTAGGCAGGACACCTCTCACCCGGGCTGACAGGTGCACACCCCTCACATGACAAGTTTTACATTCAGGTACCAAGTACAGACTGAGAGATGAGATGTTTGGATCTTAACCTTTCATTTTGAACAACTGTACACTGCATGCTAGAGTGCAGGAGAGCTGGACAAAACTGCTGATACATTAATTTCCTTCCAGCAGCAGTCCAAATATAGTGTCTACCTTCATTTGTTCTTTTTTTTTAATCAAGTCTCACAGCATCATTTGATAAATACTTGTTGCTGCATTAGTATACACCCTTTCTTATAAAGGATGAAAGAGACCTTTTTTCCAGTAATGATAATCCCAGCCACAAAGGTGGGATAAAACAAGAGGGAGCTCCCAACACTGCTATCACCTCTGTTAATTACTTCAAGAAGAAGAAAGGCCTTTTTGTTTTCTTTAACAAAGCAGGACTCTATTACTCTACCTCTTGTCTCAAAATTTAGTGACTGTCAAGGTAAGCTCACCTTTACTGTTAAGCATTGCTACTGTATTACACCTACCACACAATAGGTTCTCAGCACTTCTGCAGCCAGAACTTAAGAAAACTGAAAGTATTTTGCACCTTACTGGATTCAGCTCCTTTGTTGTCCCCAAGCCAAAAGGATGCTGCTACTTCCTTCCCCTGAGCTTTCCCCCACACTCCATTTCCTATTTCCTCCCTGCTAACAGCAGTTGCAGCTGTGTCTCCTTGAAGAAGCTTGGTTCCCACAGGGCAGAGAGGCTGAGGGTGGCCTCTATAAGAGTCATCACTAGTCCAGCAAGGTTTACATGTATCCCCTCTCCTGCCATGCGCTTTTGCCTCCCCACCCGAAAAATGACCATTACAGTAGCATAGCAGAGGTCTCATCATAGATTCCTACTTGGAGTGACAGGGAGCCTTCACCTCTTGGTGCATGAGGTATACAGATAATCCATAGACAGGATTTCACTCCCTAGCATGCCTCTGCAGCATGGCACAGGCAGTGACAGCTTACAGAACTGCAAAAGCTAAGAGCAGGAACAATTAAAAGATAGCTTTAGTGTTGGATTTCCAGGGACTTCTGTGCCTTGCCTGCAGAGACTGCTTCTACTCAAAACGTACTTTATATTGAAAGCAGTTCTGTTTAAATACACCCGATCTCCCAAGTAACTAGTGAGGGAGATAAATTTACAGACCATACTGTGTGTAAATTAATTTTTCCTTCAGATTGCCTCAAGATCCACTGCTCTTCAAGCTAGGAAAGAAGTGACACAGGTATATCTGAATCAGAATACTGGCATTTTACATGAAGTAAAAATGTAGCTCTAAGGTGAAATATATTTACATGCTGCTTCCAAGACCACAGACTCACCATTATATCAAATATGATTGTCTAAACATTTTAAAGTGAAAGATTCAATGCGCTTACTAAATGCAACAAGAAATTACAGTATGTTCATATTTTTACAAGTCTGTATTAACAACTATACAGGTATCTTTCCATTTTCCCATAAAACTACAGATGGTGTTTGTAAAAAGCATGTGTGTAGTACTTATTACCCATGTGCAACAAACCTGATACTGTATTAACTGAAAACATAATGTAAACCAGCTCACAGGAAAATGTTTCTGGAATTTATGAAGGAATAAATAAGCAGCACTCAGCTCTCTTTAGTATTTCCCAAACCAAAATATTTTAGTGTATGTTATTAGTATTATATTTAGTATTATTAAATTCAGTTGTTCTAGTAAATACAACCCTTTACACAGGCTTCTTGCCTCCCTTATTTGTGCTTCCTGACAGGTAAATGATAAAACCACTGAGACCTGTGGGAGCAGCAGAATACCAACAGTGCAATTCTCTCAGGAGTTGCCTTTCTTCATATCTAAAACCAGAAATGATATGTACTGAAGGCAAGAGAAACTAATGCTACAAAAAAGTAGCATGCATAAGGTAATTGGTGTATAAGGTAACAAATACTGAAAGTGCACACTTTGATTTGATGCAAGCATTCCAAAGAGATTATTTAGTTTACCTATGGTTGATGGGAAAAGTTAACTATCTTCCTAATTATCAGCTCAAGATACACAACACAACTGTATTGATCAAACGTACTAATTTGAGATACGTGGAAAAGAAGGATCATTCCCAACCAGTCTGCTATCAACAGTCAAACTTCAAGAAGGGTTGTTAAGAAATGGCATTAAAGATGAACCACCAAGATGCCAGGTTCTGTGCATACCTACACTGGCATGACCTACGCACTGAATTTCCTTGCCATGCATTTTCCCCTCAGTTTTTATCACGCATCAAGACTATGGCACAGAAGACAAGAGACAGGACAAACTCGTGAAGTTTGTACAGGCAGTAGGCAGAATTACACCTTGGCTCCTTCATGCATCAAAACCACTGGAGATTTCTTAAGTTTTTCAACAAACCTAAATGCACAATCCTTCTTCCTCCCCAGCACGCAACTATATATACCCAGGTAATTCTGTTAAATTAAGAAGCATAGGGTAAAATTGCATTTCACTGATACCAGAAAGATCTCCTGTGGAGAGGGGACTGCTATCTGAAACCATTCACTTGGCCAGAAGTTGGCCCAGAAAGGAGCCATCCCTAAAACTTTAATGAACCAGGTTCCAGTCTCATGCAGTAAGAGGTGTCAGTGTGAGGTTTAAAAAAAAAAGACAAAAGGGAAGGGAGAAAGGTTGTTTCAACCTTTCTGTTAGGTGACACATGGTAATTAACACCATCTTAAGACACAAGTAGACAAATGACCACAGGGAAAGCCAGCATGTGAATCTGCTGTCATTTAACAAGTGTATACACATATTATTTAAGGTAAGCTGAATCATTTACTGGGAAGTATTACAAGTCAAAAGAGTAAACACAAATGTTTAGTAGAAAAAGACTGCAGTTAAAAACCCTCAGCTTACCCAGGTTGATTTACTCATCTGACTTGAGAGAAATCAGTTACTAGGCATTTTCAGGCATTAGTAGTTCAAAGTAAATAAGAAAAAGAAATCAGAAAAAAAAAATTTACGCTTACCTGCATCTTGTAACAAACAAAACCAATGAATATCCCATCCTCATGGAGATTTTGCAACAGTATCTAGTACTAAGTAAACAATTTGCTCCTACACTAAAAGAAAACATCATCTTTTGTGCTGTTTTAAATCACTTTATAGCTTCTACTCTTATGAGTCCATTTGTGGTCTCAATGAAATAAAAGTTCGCATTTGAAGGTCATTGGTAATTTGCAGCTGATCGAGATGAGGCAGTATGGCAGCACAAGATGAAAAAGAGAGACTATTTCTGCATCATCTAAACTGTATCATCATGGCTAAAACTGCAATTCAGGATAACCGGCTTAGGAAAAAAAGAAAACCCAACACAGGAACTTGTAGGCCTCCTCACAGCTGTTACTGTGCTGTCCAGAAAAGAAGCCTTCACAAAACATCCAGCTGAAATGGTTGCGAAATTAGCTTTTACAATCTCAAGTAATACAATGGCTGTTTGCAAGGCAGGCAAGCAATTCAAACAGCATCACTCGAGCATCAACCCTCCTGTCCTCCATGTGCACAGAAGGAGAAAATACTGCAGATTCCAACTAAGAAGCAACAGCTGAACTTTTATCCACCATTGTACTAGGAAAAAAAAGTATCTGCCTGATCTCACTCTGGGATTACAAAGCTGATATCCTGAGCATATTCACCTACTAGTAGTATAGTCCTTGAAGTGGCTGCTATTTATTTCTCAAATTATACTTTGTTATTCCTAACTTCTTCGAACAACTATCAAAATCTGAAGATCAACCAACACATGATGTAAAAACAATACCAAAGTCATACTGGACTTCTGAACTACACCACAATATCCTATTTTTTTTCCTAGAAGAGCCTCCATAGCATCTACAAATGAGGTGGCCTCATCTACTGTGAAGCAAAGTTTACAGATGACAAATTTAACCCCTTCTAACATTACACCCATTTTGCTTACATTCCCCCAGGTTAGTGTTACTTCTTCACATAACTCTTACATTACTATTTGCCAAAGCTCCCTAAGTTTAAAAGGGATCAATTCATATAAAGAAAACTCACTTGTGTCTTTTGTTTGTACCCATCAGACAAGTCACCAGTCTAGGAATGCATTTAAAGGTTGGTTTGGCTTTTTGTTACAATTAAAATTTCTACACATTCATTTCAGTATTGAAACCAATTTAAGTTCTGGAATACTTGGTAGAACAATTAAAAACCAAACAAACCCCACAAAAAAAAACCCTCTCAAACCCATAAATTAGTCCTCACTTGAAACACTTGTCAGGTTTTCAGTATTTAAGAAGTTAAAGAGGTAAAGCTGTACCAATCCTAAAGTGTACCTTCATGGACTTTTAACCACCTCACTGCTGGGGCTCCAAGCACCAACAGTGACAAAAATGAACAACTCACGTGTGTGGAGGATTTTACCATATTAAAGACAGTAACTTACTGAAACTTAAAAGGTACCTCTGTGACCTTCAGAGGCCACGAAAGATCTGCATAATGAGTCAAATAAGGTAACAGCGTGCCAAAGTCATCCAATTCTCTAAATAGGGTGCTAACTGCAGAGCTTAATTACCAGTGCTTTTCGTATTCACGAATTACGTAATCAGCCTGGCAGAGCAGAGTTTGAGGCTGGGACTGTCTGAACATACGGCTGAGAGGAGCGAGAGAGAGAAACCCTCGATGCAAAGCATCACTCCTTACCCCTTCCTTAATCAGAACACCGACTACAGATCCCACTTTCAAATGTCTCCCAATGCAAGACCTATTTACTCGGTCTATTAACACAGGCATGGAACATCTTAACATATCATCTGTCCCATTTTGAGGAGGGCTTTCCGACTCAGTCTCTTCCAACTTGTCCAGCAATAAATATTGCAGCTGAACCAATTACTCCACGATGGCATCCTCTGCTTTTCTCACTTTCCAGCTTTATTCCAATCTCTTCATTTTTCACTACTGTCTTCCCAGCCACAAGGGGAAAGTAAGTCATCTGCAGACATCCCTGAACTTTGGCAATGGCCATTCACCTGTACCTACAACTATCACCAGGGTGCTAAAAGGGTAAGAGGGGAAAAAACAGTTGGTTTAGGTTTCACAGCTATTTAGCACTTACCCTGCTCAGTATCCTAGCAAGAAATGTGACTGGTACTAAAACACTTCTCTCCAAATGACGTTCACACCTGGTGATAAGGAATTTATTCAAGGCTACAAGCTGGTATGGCATAAACTTTCAAAAGAAAGACCTGTGGTAAGTAGATGGTAAGTACAGAATACACTTTGAGATTAGCTCTACATACCCACTTACCGATGTGCATGACAAAAAGTAAAGATTTGGCTCATAATTATACTTTGGAAAGTGATGCTATCTATGAAAGCTTCTATGTTCCTACACCAAAGATAAAATTAGACCATTCTATTTAGACAGAAATGTTCTCCATTCATAGATATAGCTACTATTACTTAAATAATCAGCTATCAGGCTTGATGTGGACATAGACAAGTTCTTCCACATACCATGAACTGAACTTGACAATACAAGATGAGATCAACAGGGCAGTTGAAAGGCACTAATTTGCCCAATATCTGACCACTTTGATCATATATAAGAAAAAGATTTTCCATATGACACAGAAAATAGATTTAACTATTACACTGGTATTTGAAGTGCTAACTTCAAGGGATGAACACAGTTCTATTTTTCTGACACCTGTATCAATACACACAGTATAGTCTCAAGTCTACTGGTCTCTGAGTTACAGTTTGGTACTTCTCATTCCAGAACCACTACTTTTTCGTCCTTAGGAAAAGGCAGAATCTGACACAACATTTGTTGTCAGACTGCCTAGTATGGTAGGTTTTGCAACAAGATACCAATACTTTTTGAATACTCTGTAAAGAATTCATAGGCCTACCTAGATCTTATTACACCACAAACCTTACTTTACTATTCTGCAAACAAAACCATTAAAGTTCAAACGGTTACTTCTAATGTTTTCCTTCTTGTGGCAAGAATCACTTACTGATTCTTAACATGTGAGACAGGAAAGCTTAGAGGAAACTGGACATAAGCATACCCTTTGCACGGTGTATTTCTACCCAGCCACAGCAGGAAGAATGCTGCCAACTAACCCATCACCACGAAGGCTAAGCCAGCGTACGATCTCTCATCCTAGATGACGCATTTCACCTCTTGACAACGCATGCCACCCGGCTAACACTGACCATGAGGGGGATGCATTTCCTCCTAGCATGTTTCGTACCCTTAGGTAGTCAAGTTCTCTGCTTCCTAGCATAGCCGTGGTCCCGGCAGGCGTGTTGCTGCCACAGGATGCCTGTCAGAGCCAGGCGCGAGGAAGCTGAAGGAGGTGTGTCCTCCTGACCCTAAAAGCAAGGCCGAGGGCACGGGGAGCATCTCCCCACGCCGAGTTTCCATACGGGTAGAGGGCTGCAAGGCAGGTGCACCGAGCCGGCGAGGGGACGCCACACCATGGCACCTGTGAGGACCAGGGCCAGGACCCCGGCCCTGGAGGACCAGGAGGAAGACCAGGAGCAGCCTCAGGGGCTGCGGACTCCCCGGAGAGGGGTAGGGCACTGCCCCGCCGCGGCTTCTGCTCCCGCCCGGGTGACGGCGGAGGGGGAGGCCAGCCCTACCCAGCCGGGAAGCATCCCTCTCCAGCTACTGAGGGGGGCAACGGCCGCCCGGCGCCGTGACAGGCCCCCGCCCGGCAGGCGGGCAGCCCACCTCGCCGAACAAAAGGCCCGGCCAAGGCCCGGAAACGTCCCGGGGCGGCGGGCTGAGCCGCGCCACCAGCCCGGGGGGCGAACCCGCAGCCCGGTGTTCCCGCACTGCCAAGGACGGGGCCTGCGGCCGCTACTGCCGCTCAGCCCGCCTCTCACCCCCGCGTCGGGCCCCGCAGTGGGAGGGAAGGAGCCGGGATAGAGGGGCGCTATGCAACAGCTCCGGCGGCGCTAAGGGAGGGAGGGGGCAGCACAATGAGGCCAGCGGCAGCCCCGGCTCCTTCGCTTAACAAAAGCTCCTCAGCCGCAGGGCTGGCACCCGCCTCCGCCCGGGGCTGCCTCCACCACCCCGGGCCCGAGGGGCTCTGCAGCGGGCGGCGCCCCCGATGCGCCCCGCAGCCGGCGGGCGGTGGGAGCTGGATCTCGCATCGCCGTTCCCCCACAGCCAAATCCCCGGCCAGCAACCCCCCCCCCCCCCCCCCCAAGTTTGCCGCCGCCCGCACAATGCAGCCCCCCACCGCCCCGGGGGCCGTCGCACAAAGCGGGCCAGTCCCGCCGTCCTTCCCGCACCGACCTTGAGCTGCCTCAGGCACCCCTAAGGTTTTGGTCACCGCCTTCCACACGTTGCAGCCCAGCAGGCAGAGGAGAAGCGCCGCCGATCTGCTCATTTCCACCCGCCGCCGCCAGCCGCCGCCAAGGAGGGAATAGCCGCCGGAGCTGCTGCCCGGAGGAGGAGGAGAAAGAGCCGCATCAGGGGCTGGCCCGCTCCGCGCCTCCCTCCATGTTGCCGTGCGCTGCCCCTCCTGCTTTCTCCGCCTGCTGCATTGTCGTCCCGCCGCTGCGCCCCGGCCGCCGCGTCCCGCGCTCTCCCCGCGGGCGAGCAGCGGGAGGGGAAGGAGACGCGGGGGCGCTGCGCGGCTGCCTGCCCAGCTGTATTTTCTTTCCCCTGCACCGCTCACTTCTCCCCGCTCTCCCGGCAGCAGCAGCCAGGCTCCACCGCCCGCTCCTTAACCCTTTGCAGCATCCCCTGCCCCGCGCGGCGCGCCTGGCGGGACAGCGCCCCCTGCCGCCCGAGCCGCACCTAGCCCTGCCCTCCCGGCCCGCCGCGGGGCGGGGAGCTGCGGCTCCCCGGCGATCACCGGGGCCTGCAGGGCGGATTCACCTGCTGTCGCCGGCGTGCGTTCCCCCGCGACACCGGCTGTCGCCCGGGGAGCAGGCTTATGGCCCCGGCGGGCAGCGCGTGCCTCCGCCAGGTGGTACGGCTCTTACCTGCCGCGGGGGGCCGGGTCCCGCCTGGCTGCGCCCGCCGCCTGCTCTCTCTGCCTCTTTCCCCCTCAGCGGCTGCAAAATGGCCTCCTCGGTGGTGCTGTCCCCCGCTGCGGCGGCTCGCTCGCCTTCAGCCACAGCCCAGCGGGAGGGACGAGGGGGACGACGGACGTGGTGGCTATAATGGCACGGCTGAGACGTGTCGAGTCACAGGGTCCCCCGCGGCCCTGCTGCTGTGAGTGGCACCCGGCCTTGTCCCTGATGGTGGTGAGGTATTCAAGTCGTATTAAAAAATACAACCGAAGAGCAACAGAAAATGCATTTATCTACTGTTTTTATGCAAAACTGCTTAAAAAACGCTATTGCAAACTGCACAAGGAAGGCAAATTTTGAGGTTGAAATACTGGCATTAATGGCTGAGGTCAGCCCTGGCGCTTGAGGTAGACTGTGGCAGTGTGGTGGCCTCCCACTGTGTCACAGTACGGGGCAGGACAGAAGCGGCACTGCGGAAACTAGCCAGGGCACTGAAGTCTCCTTGAAGGCTTTGTCACTGGTGTGTTTTGCACCATTGTAAGAGCATCCCTTGGTGCACTGTTTTCCAGGCCAGCAGAGACAAAATACAAGGCCACATCCCTCACTCCTCTCTTCCTGAGCTCTGCTGAGCGTTATGCTTCCTCGAGGAGGGAGAACATGCGCTCCTCCTGCTTCCTCCAGAGCAGGGGTTGCTGCTACAGACAGCTATTATGGCAAGTCTTTACACAGCTGTGCAAAGCAAAGTCCCTGCCCTGCTGCCTCACAGATTTCCCACGATCTGCTCCCAAGCACCACCAGTGCTTCAGTTTGCCCATGAGACTGAAGTTTGTATACCTACAAGTTCAATCTCACAAAAGTGTCTTAAAGCTTCAGGTTTTATTTATAACATCTGTTTTTTAATAAAAATTTGCCATAAAAATGCAATGGGCTGTACATTTATTTTTAGAAAACAGTTTACTTTGTCACTTCAGTATTTGACCAGGGTAGGTATACCACAAGCTACAGGTTGTTCATTTTATGAATTTTATTAAATTCTTGTGCCCCAGAAGTGTTAAAACTCATTTTCTGCTTTATTTTTAGAGATGCTCCAGTAGATACAATGTATTTCACTTTGGTTTTATCATTGAGTTGTTCAAATACACTTTCTGAGAGTTAATAAATACAGCATAGACGCTGCAACTTTATCTTTTTATCCTGAGAATCTGGAGGAATTGCTTGTAAAACTTGGTCCTAGAAGAAAAGTAGGTACAAAAAGGCCATTCAGTTCAAAGAGGAAACCAAATGAGCAAGTACAGATCATCTGATCTTACTCCTGTTTGTCATAAAACAAACATTTCTATATTGTAAACTCATGCCATGTCAAAACAGTTATCGTCTACCACGCATGGTCTGAAGAGTCTACTGGATTTATACTAAAGCTGATTGGAGTTTAGGGCCTGTTAGTGACTGTGAGGCAACTCCTTCCTAAAGAAAGGTTAGCCATGTGGCAAATAATCACACATTAGCATACATAAGATGAGCTCATAGCTAGAAACTTACATAAAATTTATTTCTGTCCATAAGGAAAGCTAGAGCAATTTGTTACAAGTAGGAGTATGCATTTTCCCGAATATAGTTGTATTACTTCTGTAGAAAACAGATACCAGGGACCTTGCAACATCAGTGGATAACACAATGATTTGAGCTGGAAAAGAAATTAAATACTGCCTTGAGATGTTTCCTAAATCATACTACAAACTACAGGCATATGAAACATTGACTTTTTGTTGTTGCCTTTTTCCTTCACAGAAAAAAGAGTATTAGTCGGAGCCACTCTCCATAGCACCTTCCTCTCTCCTGTGGCTGTGCACTGGGAACTATCACATCTCAATGGAGCTACAGACTGCATTGGTCTTCCTATGTTGATTTGCTACCTAGCTTGAGTAAACTGCCTTAAAGTTATGAAAGCCAGCTGGGCTTATTGGGCTGGTGGTCTCATAGCTTTTAGGTTTTATTTATCCTGGGAAATATAGTTCACCTATGTGGATTCCATGACTAAGAGGTATCATCATATGACATCTCCCAGTTGACAAAAGCCAATGAAACACGAAGAAAAGATCAAAGCTTTTCTGAAATTGGTTATTCACAAATCTTTTTAAAATTACATATAAGTTAATGTCTAGATCTTAGTGTTACAA